TGCCCAGGGAGGTGGCTGTGTTACCATCCCTGGAGGTGCTCCACAGCTGTGTGGACGTGGCTCTGAGGGACATGGTCAGCAGGCAGGGTGGGGATGGACTGACAATTGGACTAGATAGTCTTAGAAGTCTTTTCCAACCTTCGTGATTCTGTGATTCTAAGACAAAGTGTACTTCGGTGTGAACAGGGAGGAGGGAAGGCGAGAGTGGTGCAGGATGCAAGGTACTGAAGGGAGGAGTAGAAAATTCAGCTCTATGCTGTCAGAGAAAAGGAAACAAATACAGATTTTAGATGTTTCATGCAGCTTTTATGTAGATTTTATTATCAGCATAGCTCTATTTAATACATAATTTTTCCCTATCATTTTATTTCAATCAGTATGGCTACTCTATATGAACAAGCTCTAGAGTGTGAACAGCAAGGGCTGCAATGATAAAGGAGAATTTTCAGCTGGAAGAACATAATCGCCTTCCTCTTCCAATATTTTTCCTCAGTGCTGCCTATGCATCATTGTGTTATTCTAAAGCTGCACCCAAGGCACTTCCTGCTCTTACCTCTTCTACTTTCATTATCACCAAGTTGACTTTTTCTGTAATTCAAAAAAAAAAAAAAAAAAAAAAAAAAAGTCTGTTTTATAAAACAGACTAGTCAGTCAAATATATATTGTTGTTATTACTTCTTCTGCAACTATTTCTTTACCTCCTAGTTCTGGGCAGAAGCGATAGTAGGTAATATTGAAAACATAATGAAAAAAGCCCTTCCCAGGCTTCCAGTCTCAGGTCTGCAAACACAAGATACTGGTTTGCATGCTTATCTGAACTGAAGCTGCATTTGCAGCCTTGAAGGTTTCCTCCCACCATCAGTCTCCCAACATAGAGCATCCTCATCGACCAGGTATTTCCACACTGTGATAGGATAGCATTTCTGCTTTCAAAACAACTTGAGAGAAAAGAGAAATTATTTTAAACACTGGAACAATGGCAGATGCTCACTGGTCACAAGTGCTCTGCAGTCCTCAGGACAATGCTTAAGATCAGCAGAACAAAACTAGAAAAAGAAAGGTCATTGAGGCAACATCCGGCAAAGTGAAGAGACCAGAGCTTCAACAGACAAAGCACTTGGAACCATAGATCTTAGCACTTATGAAGGTGAAAATTTCTCTCCTCTCCATTTCATCTATTCCAGATTCAACATACATCAGCGGTGATCCATGCTATCCCCTTTCTCGTCAGGGGTCCTGGTCAGACAGTGCTATGATCCTAATCCTTTTTCAAGGTGCCAGTACCAAAACTAGGAGCAGGCATTTGTTTGCAGAGCTGAAACAGTGCAGCTTTTCCAGCCTGCTCCACAACTGCAGGACTTGCCCCTCTGAGAGGAGACAACTCAGGGACTGAACCAACAAAATGAACGCTACAGCTCCCACTGCTTGATGTCACAGCTGATGACCTCATCAGAGTCTAAAGGGGCTGAACCAGTGGTGAACAAGACTCTTTCTCAGCAAAGTGGTCTCTCCAGTGCTAGAGTGTGGCACAGCACGTCTGTGCTGTACCAATTTCCTGGAACTAACCCCAGATCTCAGTGTGCAAACATCATCTGGTCATTTTCTTCTGATGCCAAATTAGGCAGAGATTAAATGCAACACTTTGTAACAGCTAAACAGGTGGGACTAGAGACATGAGCTCCAAGGAGAGAAACAGCAAAAACATATGCAAATAACTATATACTTATTGTTCAGAGGAAAAAGGCTAAACAGGGAAAACCCAACATTCTCCACAAAACCTAATCAAATGCAATATTAAAGATCACAAATTCAAAGAAAACAATCAGGAAATCCAGATGCTGAATTTTTCCCACAGCATGCCTCCACCCATTGTTACATCTAGGGCAGGGTTCATGGCATTTAACCTGAGGCATCTGAAGGAAAAGGGGGTACAGCCTTCTTCAGTGATCAATGGGGAGACACAGAACTATTCCACAAGCATTTCACGGCACCCTGAGGTAGGTGGCATGAACCATCCTCAGGTGGCATCACTGTCTCCACTGTCGCAATGTCTGGACCTCCAACTAGGAGTTAGCAAACATTCAGATGCACACTGACTGAGAGCAACCTATACAGTATCTCAGTCTATGAGTACAGTGGGGAGGGGAAGTAAATTCAGGCTCAAAACTGTTTTTTTCCTTTTTTTTTTTCCCCGCACCTGCCTTTTTGTGCCTCAATTCACCAGCTTCACAGTACGCTACAAAGCTCTCTTCGCACATGGACCCAAATTTCCTCCCAGACAGAGTTATCAACCCTCACTGAAGCTGTAACAATTTCTCACATTCCTCCAGGGAAGGTGGTTCAATGGAGTTTTTTGCTTCAACTTCCAGAGAAGGGCTTATCTGTCACACTAAGGTGTCAGTGGTTTGCACTGTTCTTTAGGTTTGCACTGGTGTTATTGATCGTAAATGCACAGGGAATGCAACAAAACTGTAAGTGAAGGTCTGAACCCATGAAATGCTGAGCAAGTTCGATCACAGCTGACTGCTGCAGGCACTGAGGGGATGCTGACAGAAGCAACGTGTGCTTGCAGGAACAAACCCCAGCCACAAAACTCATTTGCAAACTACATGACTAAGGATAAGAAAAAGCAATGCTTCTGCCAAGGCCCTCTCTGGAAAACAGATTAAGGACTTACCAGTCTGACTTCAGCATTTTTAGTAGAATATCAATGTATTTACTCTCCACCATGTTTTAATTCAGTTCATCAAACAAATACGACCCATTAAACATTACACACCTGTGAAACAGAAGCTCTAAAGGTCAGCATTTTCAATTCATGTTTAAAGAAATCTTGGCCTTTCCTGAAACCACAGATCTTTGTATGCTTCTCCTGCCTGCCAAACTACAAAAAGGGAGTGTGATAAAACAAGATCTCCATTCATAATGCTTCCACCTTCATGTTCTTTGTGGGCTGCCTGCTTGCCAAGAGGCTCTTTAGAATTGAGCTGGGGGGTATACAAGGCAGCCGCATGAGGTGCCACCTTCCCAAGGAGAGATGAGAGAGAGGTAAAAAGAAAAATCTTTACAGATTTCAATTCGTGACATCTCTATTTGAATTTTGGTGGAGTAAATCTGATCTAATCCTACCACAAGTGATGGAGCTGTGCTGGATTTACACTACAGGAATTGGAAATCAAAATTTGGTCTGCCAAGTCCAAAATTGCAAAGATCTTTTTCTAGCACATAGGAGGTTTGGCATCAAAAATACTGATGCTTGTTCGAAGAAGGGATAAAATGGCCACCACATAAGTGTGAAACACAGCATCCAACTGGTGTTCCAGACCTGGTTTACACAGATATTAACAACCGTGTAATGCAGGAGGCAGGAGAGCCTCATACACACTGTTGCCCAGCTGCCCACGAAAATGGTCATGGCAAAGTTCAAGACACATCTGGACAAAGCTCTCAGATGCAAGGTGTGACTTTTGGGTGATTCTGTGTGGAGCTATGGGTTGGGCTCAATAATCCTTACAGCTCGCTTCCAGCTCGGGACATTCTATGATTCTATGAGCTCTTCCCAAGAAAGAAAAGTATCACTGTGGGTAGAATGGGGCAGAATGTCTTCCGTAACAAGTGGGGAAAAAACAAAACAAAACAAAAAACTGTAATTATTTTATTAAATGATTAAATGACTACTTTATTTCAAAGACTAATTTGGGAAAATAACACTGTGTATTAAATGTATATCTTTCGGCAACTGAACATTTGGTCAAAGAAAAAATATCATAATTAATTTATTCCCATCTACTCACCTAAAATAACCTGCCCTGGGTTATTTACTTACAAATTAAATTAAACAGAAAATGCCTGGATTTCGCAGTCCACTAAATCTCTTTCTGAGGAAATGTTGCCAGTGGTCAGCTTAAGTCTCCCCCTTTATTCAATTAGACCTGATTCTGCCTAGTTAAATGTCTCAGATTCGTTGAAGAGTGACTGCAAAAGGAAAAGACTGCTTGTGCCCCTGTTTGTTTCTGTATGATGCACAAAGCACGGTCAAGACATTCTTCTCAATAAAGGTGCTGCCCTCATCTCTTTGTCACACCAGGACTGCAGGGAAAAAGGCAGCCCACTTCTCTTGGATATTCCCATCAGCCCACAGCATTTTGGGGGCCACTGTCAGCCACGTTAGCTGGCCAAATGCACACTCGGGCATGAACTGCTGGGGTACCCTGCTCCTCCTACAAAGGATATTTCTGTTGGGTCCGACTGCAACCCAAGGATGCTCCCTCCCCTAAGCTCACAGATAACAGCTGGCCAAAGCTGGTGCTCCCTGCATATTGCAGCATTCAAACACAGATGTGGGAAGGCCTGTTTGTGCAGTAACTGCCAAAAAAACTGGCTAGAGACAGGGAAAAATGAAATGTCAGCGACATGATGGAAGCACAGTGGAAACAAGAGGACTTAGCTGGGCTAGTTCAGACTGGTTACTTGCTTAAGCTAGCACCTATTTAACTTCAGGAGCTGATTAACACTTCTGAGAGACAATAGCTTTATTAAAGATTCAATTATTTTTCAATTAAGATGTAAGAGCTGTATTAAACGTCCCTGAAAATGCCACAACGTCCTACAGCTCCTTTCAGGGAAAACACAAGCTAGCATTCTCGGCATTTCTAAGGTAAAACACTGGTAAAAATAAAACCTTTAAAAAAAAAAAATCACAAAGTCTTTACACTTCTTAAGGAAGAAGAACAGAGCTCATTCTTTTGCAGCTCTCTTCTATCTGCTCCTTCCCCTCCTTGCTTTTTCTCTGTTGCAGATAATTCCACATGATTAATAGGCTCTCCTCAGCAGTGCTACACAGTTAGCTCTTTTAATCTCTCTTTGAATCTGAGTCTTTCTAATCCCCCAGCCCTTCAGCCCCAGGAGACTCCACCTGAGGATCACAGTACAAGATAGTTCTCTCTGTTTCAACTTACTTCTAATGTGCAAGTCTACAATCAAAGCAAGTTCAAATTTACCTTATCTGCCATGATCATAGAGGAGCCTCCATGGATGCCCAGGATGGGAGTGAGGGTCTGGGCAGAGATGAAGTCCAGGATCTGGGCAATGGCTTCCTGGTCTGTGTCATCAGCAAATACCACCCCTTGAATCTTCCGGTCTGACATGAGGTCACAGATGCGAGTGATGATGCTCTTGGGATCAGTTTCATTCATGGCCACCAGCTCCACCCGGGGCACCACTGAGAGGTGGTGGAAGTCATCTTTCTCGTGGGCATCTTTGATGGCCACTTCGTCTGAGGTCCCCACCAGGATGACCGCAATGCCAATGCTTGGGTGGCTTTTTTGCGCGTGGGTCCCGCTCCCTGTTGTTGCGAGGACTGCCAGCACCAGCCAAAACCTCGGAGAGTAGCACTCCACCCTGGGCCTCATCTTCAGCTCTTACACTCCCTGAGAAATAAAGATACAAAAGGAAACGGGGAAAGTGAGAGAAAGGGAAAGTGATTAATTGACAAGTCAATCATGCACTCTGCATTCAAGGCAGATCCATCGATCTTCCTCATCCAATAGCTGTCCTCCCACCAGTCTTTCTTGCCCAGCACCCAGTCCTTCTGTTGCATTCACGGCAACGTACTAAGTTCTGGTCGCAACCCCAGAGTTTGAAGTCACTTCAGAGTGACAGCAGAAGATGGGATCATGTCATCTATCTTAGGTCCCATGTCATGCTGAGACCCAAGTCAAAACTGATTTTGAAAATTGAGAAGAATTGTCCACTGACAGCTGTTCAGCTGTCTTTGTGAAACTAATTGCTTATGTCAAGCCCATGTCTAAGTGCTTGCCCTCAACACAAAGGAATTATTAATGTTTGTGATCAGTTTGGCCCTCTTCTGGATATACAGGCAGAGAGGCTGAAAGGACCAGACAGACAGGACTGCCTTTTACTGCATCAGCAGAGCACCTCTAGAGTAAAGACAAATGGGCAAGGCCATTGGATGGATGTGAGTGGGTGTTACTCTGCATATGCACTGCATATAGCCCTCCTACCCAAGGGACACACACTACTCGTATCTTTAGTAGTCAGTCCGTCTTTCACCTACACAAAGTCCATTTGTTTTTAAAAAGCAAGGAATGCAAAATTTCCAAATGGTCGTAACTAAAAATGAATCAGTGACACATGGAGAGGACATTCCCCCCAAAACCCCTATGACAAAATTTTTTCCAATAAGCAGAAAGACTCAAAGAGCTTATTCTCCACTACCGCAGCCAAGAAAGTTACAGTGGTCTTTTCCTTGAACATATCCATTTTATCATTATGCATCATTTTATAATCATAATAGTAAAAATGGGAAAGCCCGGTGAAGTCATCTCTCCAGCTCCTGCCTGAGCAAGATTGTTCCTACCTCTTTATTCACTCCTGATTTAATAGTACCTCACGTTTTCACAGCACTTTTCATTTCAAAGGAACTTTACACACTAACAAATTAATCCTCACAGCACTTACAAGGAGTCAGTATTACCAAAATCCTACTGATCTGGTGACAAAAACACAGCAGTGACCTCCCTGGCCACCCATCACCCCTTTGGGGAGCAGCACTGCTCAGCCTGCCTATCCAGGGCCACTTTGCCATCCCAAGCAGATTTCAGGCATTTCAAACTAGAGAAGACTTTCCCTTAGATGTTCACACCCAGAAGTCTGTTTTTCAACAGCCATGCTCACTTAGAATAAGTACACCAGTACTACACCATTGACCCTCTAAGCCTTCGGGAATCTAGAAATCGGACTCTTTCATGCCCTTCACAGCCACATGTCTCTCTATCAAATGTACAGAAGGCTGCAGTAGCAGGGACAATACCAACAAGACCTAGGGGAAGTTGGAAGTCCACCCAACAGCCTGCGTGATGCCAGTCAGGCCCAGCCAAAGGGTTCATGCAACTCCATTGTGCCTTGCCCAGGAGAACACAGATACTCGTACCTGCTCTCTCTCTGCTTAGCATGGCAGTGAGACCGTATCCTGCATTGTTATTACTGGATAAATAACTGGAGAATAAAATAGATATTAAATATGCACCAGAGGAACCAAATCCACTTAGGAGACTGAAAGCGACCATGGGTACAAAGCACCAATCGATTCTAAACTCTCTGACAGATCTGCTTTCTGAGAGATGCTCACAAGAACCAAGGGACTTCGAGAGTTTGGCAAAATGAACAGCTAACTTCATTCCAGCAGGACTGTTATCCTCCAATTACGAGTCACTAAATTAGATTCCTTCACAGTGAAATGCAGTCCCCACTCCTGCAATGCTTTATTAACTTTAATGCACTCTGTACGCTCTCTGTCTCTCACTTTCTTGCTCACTCACTTTAATGCTATATTTGCACTCTTTAAAATATGTCTCCTGCGATCTCTGCATAGTCTCACACAATCTATTACGCTTGGTTAGGTAATGGCTAGCTGTGATACGCAGGGAGCAGACTCTAGGTTTTTCCCAGCCCCTCTCCCACCAGGAATACTTTACAGGGCCTTACAACACATAACTCAGAGAGCAGCAATGCAGGAGCTACGCAGGCAAACGTGACAGCTGCCTGCTTTCTCACCCAAGCATAGACCTTTCCCATAGGGAAAAATTCTCGCCAAGAAACCTGTTCCCTTCTCTTCATCTGCTTCAAAGCCGATTAATCTCTAGCAAGTACTTTCAAGAGACAGCAGAAGAAGGCTCAGATCATGAAGAGCATTTAGGTGCCAACCTACTGAATGCCTGGCTTATGGGATGTACCCCTAGACAGATTTTCTCTTCAGTACAAGATGATGGGGCTCCCTGCAAAGTGCTAGAAGCTCAGTCTTTATCCAGTGACACAGAAAGTTGCCAGGGCTAGGAAAAGACTAATGTGAAGAGGTCACGGTGCCACCACAGCCAAACGGCATCTCCCTCTACTTCGGATCCTCAGCCATGAGCCCTATTCTGGCTCCGCTAAAACTAAAAGGCTTAAATGGCTTAAGTAACCTGTGCCTATTCAACCACCCATGACAAGTCTCCCTCCATCTCTTACTCAGACATAACTTCTCTGTTAGCATGTTTCAGAAACATGGACTTTGGTTGCTGGCATGTAGACCACCCACCTGAGGCAGTATCAGGTACCTGTTCCTGGCTGGGTGCCCTGGTAGGATGGGATCCAGGGTTGCGATAAGGCAGGAGTACATAAACAAAGCGTACCCAAACCAAGGATAGTGGCACCCTCAGCCAAAGGTTGGCCTCTACCATGCAGACACAGTACACTGCCACAAGGCACAAGCAGGTTCACAGCGCAGAGTTGCACTGTGCAAGTAGAGGCTGTTGGAGATCGGAACAGGAATCCCAGCAACAACCCCTATCTCTCTTTCCTCCTCTAATGTTTCTCACCATGAGCCCTTTTTGAATGAACGACAGTAAAGGGCACGGGTACGCCTGCACAAATATTGTAAGACTAAAGTGACCTCAGAACTATTGTGAAAAGTTGTTTCATATACAGCAGCAAGTTTTATATGTTTACTTCTGCAGTGTTCAAATGGAAAAGTTTGAGACACCCAACTGAGGAAACGCCAGAGGTAGTGTGGGGACATCCTTCTGAGTGTTTTTGTTTTCTCTTACTTCAGTGAGTATTTGCAAATTCACATGGAGAAACTCATAAGATCATGACAAAGCTGCAGTTCTAAAACAGAGTTTCTCTCTAGTTGCTCCAAATAATTTTAATAATCCTCAAATCTAATTTCATAAGTCAAGAGTGACTTTTAAAATGCATCAAGGTGATTCAATACATAGTATTTTACATCAGTAGGTTTTTTTCCTTATCAATGATGCAGGGTAACAGCGTCAGGAAGGCTTTTCTGCCTTTCCAAAACGATTCGGTAAATCTCAAACTCCATTCTAGCCAGTAATGTCTCTCTTTTTTTTCTTTTTTAAAGACATTATTCCACGGTATTATATTCTCCCTTTCTCTCTGATACAGAATGCATGACAGGGATATTAGACAAAGTGCTTTTACAGACATATCTATATTTAGACATAAACATGCCTGTAAAATGATTATAACTCTATAATCTTATTTTATTTACCAATAAAACATATCCAGCATTGTAGAGGAACGCAGCATCTACTTAATACTGCAGAACAATATTACACAATCACTGTTAAAACAGGGAGGGAGACCTAACTTCTCCAATTGAAAATGCAAGAGGAATGTAGGTAGTCAGACAGCAATTATTCAGTTGGAATTTGGCCAGGACCAAAAGGTTAGACTGCTTAAAAATACTAAGAGAACCTTATTTGACAGTGCATTTTATGTGGATCAAATCTAAGATAAGTATTAATAGAAAATTATTAGCTGCATAGCCAAAAATACAGCTCAGCATTTAGAGATATTTCTGGGAAAGTACACAAATAGGTCACTGTGCATTCAACCAAGCTAACTGTAGATAAAGTGCTACGCCACATAGAGCAAAGTGAGGCAATCTCTAGGTGTGACATAGCATTGAGGCAGAAGATGGGCTCAGCTCTGTTGTGTGTTCATGCCAGTACCTCCATCTGCTGCAGCCAAGCCAACTGGGCAGCCATGTGCAGCAGGCCCTTGGGAATGTATCTGCAGGGCCACAAAACCCCACGCCGAGCAAAGGAAATGGAAGTCCTGTAATGCTTCAGTATCAGATATAAAGCTGCCTTAAAGGCAGCTTTCCTAATTAGGATGAAGTTGATAACTGTGACAGGGGGCTGAACATCATCAGAAAAGTGTAGAGATATAAGATTTGGACAATGAATGAAAAACGAACCCTCATGTTTACAGCCCTAGTTGAAAATAGGAAGAAATTCACCTCAGCTGTGAAATACTCCAGAAAGCTGGCAGATGTTTTGTGCCTGGTATCCAACACACCACCAGGGAACAGCACAGCGCACCAGCAGTGCTGTAGGGAAGTTATTGCACTAGACAAGCAGAAGCCTGGTGATATTTAAGTCTTTCTCTACTACCTGCCATACAGGTAAGCTGCAGGAGCTGGGAAGACTCATGCAAAGAAAGGGGCAGGGTTGATTCAAATCCCACAAACTGTTACTCCCGAAAGCTGGGGGTTAAGTCACTAAGTATCATACTGTAGTTTACATTTAAGTTTCACCAACTCCCTAACTTTTGTCAACCCAATTTCAACTTCGTGCAGCATTCTATTCTCATGGTTAACACCATCTCTCCACTCAGGACACACTGCATATTGTCTGCCTCTGAAGAAGCACCCCTCACCTCCTAACACCGCTTTCACTGTTCTCCTTCCATAGCTCCAGCACAGCTGATTTGTACACTAACAGCTCTTGCGCTGCCGTTCTCCACACTACTGCTCACCAGGTAGATGACATAAGTGCTCATAAATCTTCTCCTGGCTCATGGCCCTGTTGTTCCTGGAACTCTGTAAACAGAGACTGAGAT